TAGAAACCAAATGAGATGTCCCAGGAAATGTAGTAGCTTCTGGGCAAACCCATTTGTTCATTCTGCACTCTGAGCAAAGTCCACAAGGGCCTAGCCGATGGAAGGCAGACCTGCAAAGAGACTCCGGCAAACTGCCGTATGGTACGCAACCGGTTCAGAACTCAGCTGGTAAACACCACAGGGGGTTAGAAAGAGGGATAATCGTTAAGTGTTCATTTTAAGCACAGAAAATATTTCTATCACCCACAGCCCCAGAACTGAAGGACTCTCTACCAATGCATGACTGGGGGGAAGTGGACGGCAAGCTCTCTCCATTTATCTCCATATTCCATATGCCATCGTGAATCACCCATGGGATGAGCTTCCTCATCTTGGAATGTTTCTGGGGAACCTCAGTATTAATCTTTCTCTGGTCCTTTCAGCACATCCTCAGATAAAAAGGCAGGTTTTTTTTTTTTAAATTTTATTTTAAGATTTTATTTATTCATTTGACAGACAGAGATCACAAGTAGGCAGAGAGGCAGGCAGAGAGAGAGAGAGGAGGAAGCAAGCTCCCTGCTGAGCAAAGAGCCCAATGCGGGCTCGATCCCACGACCCTGAGATCATGACCTGAGCTGAAGGCAGAGGCTTTAAACCACTGAGCCACCCAGGTGCCCCGAAAAGGCAGTTTTTAAAGCACTAATGAAACGGAAAATAAATGTGAAAGAATTGGTGCCTCTGCCCTTGAAGGCTAGGAATTATCCATGACTACCTGACAGAGCTTGAGTTCCAAAGGTCTCTCCAACACAGGCAGGCTCTACATCTGGAAGTCAAGTGTTTAGCACTTGGAACACATTTTCCCATAGAGACAATGTATAAATCAGGGTTCGTTCTCAGATCAGGCTGACAAAGCTCCGTATTAACTCATATAGTACCAAAAGCACAGTACCATCCTATTTCTTCCATAATATTTTTACTGAGAAACAATTCCCACACAATTCACCCTTTTGAAGTATACAATTCAGTGGTTTTTAGCACACTCACAAAGTTGTGCAACCATCACCTGTATCTAATTCTAGAACATTATGTCAGCCCCTCAAAAAAATCCTGTGCCTCGGGCAGTCATTCCTCCTTCCTCCACAGCCCCTCCCAGCCACTAATCTACTTTCCATCTCTATAGGCTTGCCTATTGTGGCATTTTGTATCAACAGAATCATAAGATGTGGCCTTTATTGTCTGGCTTCTTTCACTCAGGATCATGTTTTCAAGGCTCATACAAGTTGTAACACATATTCAGTACTTCATTTATTTGTCCAAAGCCTTTTATTTTTTTAAAGATTTTATTTGTCAGAGAGAGAGAGAGCGAGCAAGAGAGAGCGCAAGCGCACAAGCAGGCAGAGTGGCAGGCAGAGGTGGAGAGAGAAGCGGGCCCGATGCTGGACTGGATCCCAGGACCCTGGGATGATGACCTGAGCCAAAGGCAGCGGCTTAACCCTGTCCAAAGCCTTTTAAAAGTTCATACTTTGGGGCGCCTGGGTGGCTCAGTGGGTTAAGCCGCTGCCTTCGGCTCAGGTCATGATCTCGGAGTCCTGGGATCGAGCCCCGCATCGGGCTCTCTGCTCAGCAGGGAGCCTGCTTCCTCCTCTCTCTCTGCCTGCCTCTCTGCCTGCTTGTGATCTCTCTATCAAATAAATAAATAAAATCTTTAAAAAAAAAAAAAAGTTCATACTTTGTACCTCAAATGGAATTTACAGAAATAATTGGAAATGCACCAAAGGATCTGGGTACAAGTATATATCACAATATTATTTATGATAGGAAAAAGTAACATTCACTGTAAGGTCCGGTTAAATAAACTTACACATTTATATGATGGAATACTATGCAACATTAGTAAATAAGATTTTAAAGGCTATATATGAAAGGAAAAGCTCATTGTTAACTAAAGAAAGAACATTGAAAACATTTTTTTTTAAAGATTTTATTTATTTATTTGACAGAGAGATCACAAGTAGGCAGAGAGGCAGGCAGGGAGAGAGGAAGGGAAGCAGACTCCCTGCTGAGAAGAGAGCCCGATGTGGGGCTGGATCCCAGGACTCTGGGATCATGACCTGAGCCGAAGGCAGAGGTTTTAACCCACTGAGCCACCCAGGTGCCCCGAACATTGAAAACATTAAAAAAAAAAGTGTGTGGGGGATGATGTCAACCAAAATATATTACCAGGTATCTCTGTGTAATAGGAATATGGATGGTTTTAAATTTCCTATTTATATTTATATACTTCAAATTTTTCTTTAATAACTTGAATGATTAGTAAAGTAATTCTACTGGGAGAAAAAAAACAACTTTTGGAATGTGAACAGAAAGGCACTCAGAATTCAATTCAGAGTCCCTCATACTTTCATTATATAGACAATCTTATTGTCTGTTTAATTATATACACATGCACACACATAACAGAAATAAGAATAAGCTAATCAGTAAGTTGTTTTTAAAAGTTGTGAAAAACAAAAAAGAGAATAAACAGAGATGTAGAAACTGAATTAGGTACCAGAAAAATGGAACTGATCAATAATCCACGAACTGGTTCTCTTACAAAAACAACAAAAGGGATGGAGAGTAAGAAATCTGACAAGAAAAACAAAAGCTAAACAAAATTAGAAACGTGAAAAGGATATAACCAGAGACACTGAGGTTTAAAGTGCAAATAATACATGCTACAAAATTCAAAAGTGGGATAAGTGGGAAAGCAAATTACAAAAATAGAGTCCAAGAGGTAAAAAAGCTCAACCTTTTCACAGCCTTACCTCCCTAGAGAGGCTTCATTTGTTAAGGCTTTTTTTTTTTTTTTTAAGATTTTATTTATTTATTTGACAGGGAGAGACCACAAGCAGGGGGAGGACCAAGCAGAGAGAGCCATAGAGGGAGAAGCAGACTCCCCACTGAGCAGGGACATGCTCCCAGGGATAATGACCAACAGAGCCAAAGACAAAGACACATGTTTAACCAACTGAGCCACCCAGGCACCCCCTCCCTGAACAAACTTAATGACAGAGAACTTAAAATAAGTTCTCTCATATTTTCAAGAAACAATCAATTCTAAAACTATAGATGTTCCAGAACACATAAAGTTATGGAAAGTTACTCAATGAATTTTATAGGGCTAGTTTAACTCTGAGATCAAAACACAAATTACCTCCTACCCCAAAGGAAATCTCCAACCATACACAGTAGAGGAATATTCTAAACACAAAATTAGGTTGAAAAACTTAACATTACCAAGAACAATTTATTATTAGGAAATGTACAAATACCCAAAACCAATATGATCAACTAAATTAATGCTCAAAAACACCCCAATAAAATACCTATTCCCATTTAAAAACTCTAAAAGCCACAAATCACAGAATAATCCATTTACAGTTTTATTTTTTTTTCCATTTAAGGTTTTAAAAGTCTTTCCCCAGCCAGTAAGTAAACAATAAAATTAATGGAGTAAAAATAAAAATATTCTAAGTAAAATGAAGAATAAAAGAAAGACCACCAGGAAAGTCTGAATAATTCGATAAGCCATGAACTAAAACCAAGCACTTAGTTATATCAAAACAAGTAGAAGTTTAAATGGAAGGAAAATCCCATTCGAATCAGCAACATTAATAACTAGCCCATAAATAAATAAAACCTGAAAGTATCTGAAACTAACACTAACCCAAACGTCAGATCCTAGATGTAAAAAGAAAATTACCCACTTTGAGTTATAAAAGAACTAAAAAAAAAAAATCAGGGAGCATACTTTACTTCTAGATTGGCTAGCTTAATACAGAGAAACAAGCTTCTAAATATTCCATTCCTGCCATTAGAGTCATACTTTATAAGGATTTTTTTTTTAAGATTTTATTTATTTGCCAGAGAGAGAAAGAGAGAGAGAGAGAATGCATGAGTATAAGCAGGGGGAGGAGCAGGCAGAGGGAGAGAGAGAAGCAGGCTCCCCTTTGAGCAGGGAGCCCCATGCAGGACTCGATTCCAGGACCCCGGGATCATGACCTGAGCAGGAGGCAGACACTTAACCATCTATACAGATTTTTTTTTTTAAAGATTTTATTTATTTATCTGACAGACAGAGATCACAGGTAGGCAGAGAGGCAAGCAGAGAGGAGGAAGCAGGCTCCCTGCTGAGCAGAGAGCCCCATGCGGGACTCGATCCCAGGACCCTGGGATCATGACCTGAGCCGAAGGCAGAGGCCTTAACCCACTGAGCCACCCAGGCGCCCCACCATCTATACAGATTTTAAAGTCGGCCCCCGAAACCAAACTTGTAGTCATACCAGAAATGCTGTCTATAAACCCATTTTAAAAATATGAGGAATATTTTGATCAATCAACACGGAAAAATGCCCAACATAAACTGTCAAGAGGAAAAAAAACTAGTATAAAATAAAAGAATCATAATAATCTTATGGTGTATGTGGGGGAAGGCACAGGTATTTATAAATAAAGATGAACACTCCAGAGTAAGCAGTTGGCTACCTCTGGGTGGTGAGGTCACATGATTTTAGGTATTTGGAACTTTTACAAAAAGTACAATGTAACTTCTATAAATTTGGGGGTAGGGAGGGGAACAGTTTAAAAGTAAAGAAACACCCAAAATATCAACAGTATTTGTTTTAAGGTAGCTGAATTATGGTTGTTTAGTTGTTTCAACATAGTTTCCTGTGTTTTCCAAATTTTCTATAATAATCGTAAAAAACAAACCTCTGTGCAAAACTGTTAGAGAAACATGTTAAAAAACAACATGTTAAAAAATTCACTTGGACCCTCTTGTTCTTTGGAGCTTCCATGTGCCAAATTCTTAGTTTTTCTCCAACCATTCTATTATTTTCAACATTAAATTCAAAATTTGCCAGGAAGACTTCCAATCAGAAAAAATAAAACGGTCTGAACTGCTCTCACACGCTTGCTCAGATTAAAAAGGAAAGCAAAATGTGGTGAGGAATCAAGAAAGGTGTGGCCCAGAGTCTTACCGTGAAACTGTTGTTGACGTTCTTGGTGCTGGATTCAGCCACGCTGGCATCTGTCAGGTCCACCTCATCAAATATGATCGACTGGAGAAGAGACCCAGGCAACAGAGTCAGTGTGGGGCCAAGGCACCCCGGCCCAGCCACTCTCCCTCAAGCCCAGCCAAGCAGCCACAGACACCCAAGCGCCTTAAAACTTGAGCACCTGACAACTACACCAACACTAACTGCATCCATGGCTGCCTGCTTCTAACAAGAGCACAGAGCTCAAAGGTAGAGCTCTGTGTGCTTTTTAAGCGAGGAGTTCATGAGTGACTGCATTCGTGGAGAAAAACAAAACAAAACAAAAAACCACTGTGGTTTCTGTATTTATTTTTTGTAATCAGCATTTCACTTCTATATGTGAAATATGCCCTCACACGGAGTCTACCTGAGGGAGCAGGGTTCCAGACCGAGGATCCTCTATCCTTCCAGCTAGAGTCACACTTAGGGGGAAAGGTCCCGGCTAAAACAAATGATTCTAGGAAGAGAGACCGATCCAGATAGAAGGGATCTGGCCATGACGGGGGAAAAAAAAAAAAAAAAAAACAACAACAACAACAAGGGAGCAGACCAGAAGGAATCTAGTCCTGGAGAGAGAGACAGCCAGGCTCCAGAAGGAAGACTGGGAATTATGCCGGGGAAACTTCCCCCCAACCTATTTTCCTCCCCATAGTCCCCATCTCCTGTTTACCTTATTGTCCCCTCTAAGAAGACTCCACTGGGAACCCCTGGAGGAAATGCTAATGACTTAGGAAAGAGACTCACCCTTTTAAGTAACAAGCCTCCTCCCCCAAACCCCCTCCCCAAACACATACACACACACACACACACACACACACACACACAACTAACTATAAGTGTTTTTTGGTTTTTTAATGAGGGATGTGGTCAGAACCCTCTCCAAACAAGTTGCTCTGTTCAATTTCAAAAAATTTTAATGCATTCTCTAGGGGCCCATCTCAAAAAAAAAGGTCTAGAATCTAAATCATTTACATTTTAATACCAAAACATCAGCATTGACAACAATACCAATACAATACTGGTATTCAGGATGCCAAAAACTAGCTTTGCAAACACACATTCATTTAAACAGGACGGGAATTCAGTGGCTTTCACTGGCTTCTTGTCTTTCTCTAGAGCTGCCTGTGACTCTCCCTGCAAAGCTCATACACAAGCCAGCACAAGGGAAGGCGGAGCTGGGCTAGAACTTCACAGTTCTGTTCACACATCAACAAGCCCAATACGCTCCAAAAACAGCTTTCATTAGTGTCACAGGCATGTACTACTTACCTCCACGCTCATTAAGCTATATACATTAAATATCCATAGCTTTTTGAGTGCCAATTATAACTCAATAAACTGCTTTTAAAGAAAAGATATTTTAGCCCATAGGAGATTTATAAGCCTGTGACCCCAATCCTTCCGAAAAAAATATCTTTCACTATAATTTGATTATTTCTGTGACATTCCCCTTTCCCCACTGGTGACACAGAACATTAAGGGGGAAAACACTCAGTAAAAGTCAACGTTTATAAGAAATAAAACGTGCCTTGAGACAAATTAAAGCTAGCACTGCAGAGTATCACCAAACTCACGGGAAATAACAGATCTAAGCAGTGGAGGTTTGTCCCAGGATAAGGACTCGGTAGAGACCCTGCCGAGTCTGTTCTCCAGTGGTCTCCACTCACTGCACCTCACCTTTGCCGTTTTTGCATAGTACAGCGTTCGCCCCCGCAGCTTGAAGTATCTCCTTTTTGATCGCTGAAATGAATTGTTCTGTTTGGTCAGCATCCCCTCTTTGATGACGGTCTGAAAGCACAGAAACAAGTCATGAGCAAGCGTCTGCACAGTGCCCTGGTGCCCATCCCACAGAACTGCACACAGACGGGCCAGTGCCTGCCTGACCAGTTAGGCCAGAGGCCTGACCCAAGTACTTCTCACACTCTCCCCAGACCCTGGCCTCTAGACCAGGGCTACACAATTCTGAAGGACGGTGGCAGGCCTGCGCGGGAAGGGTGTCAGGGGCCCAAGGTGTGCCTGGCCATGAGCAGGGGATCAACAGAGGGGGGCAAGAAGACTTGCAGGAACACAGTAAGCAGCAAGGGCCAGAGCATTCTCCCGCTTCAGCATTTGGTATTTTTCAGCTATTCTTGGCATCGTCTCCGTGTTCTCTGGCCTCCTGCCATTTCTCAGGATCCCGTTGCCAAAACTGTCGACGTAGGTTGCTGTGGGGTTCAGCACAGCCCCAGTCCTGTGCCCCAATCATCCCTCACCCTATTCACAAGCTGGGTACATGCCTCTGCCCACATTGTCAGACAGAAGTGCCGCAACCAAAGTCACTAAACTCCTCTCCTCCCGTAAATCCAATCGGTCCACCATTTACCTGGAGTTCCCTTAACAGCCAAAGTGGGCAGAGGTCCACTCACCGTGGCTCAATGAAAGCCACGGTCTCGGTAGAGGCCCAGGCAGGGTCTCTACCGAGTCCCCTACCGAGTCCTTATCCTGGGACAAACCTCCACTGCTTAGATCTGTTATTTCCCGTGAGTTTGGTGATACTCTGCAGTGCTAGCTTTAATTTGTCTCAAGGCATGTTTTATTTCTTATAAACGTTGACTTTTACTGAGTGTTTTCCCCCTTAATGTTCTGTGTCACCAGTGGGGAAAGGGGGGAATGTCACAGAAATAATCAAATTACAGTGAAAAAACGGGGGGCATGGCTTCTCCTGGAGCTGTTTCCCCTCCCGTGGTGTCCCAGGGGACAGTCTAACAGGACAAGGGAGCCCTGCAGAGCACTCAGAAGCGAAATGCTCAAAGAACTACTTGATCATTAGACATGTGAACCACTGGGAGCCACTAAGAGACAAAACGAATAAACAACGTGCCTAAAACAGGAGCCTGGCTCTCGGCACGTGCATACACTGTTTTCCCCAGCTGACAGAAACGGCCAATGTACAAGGGGTCTCGCCATGGAATCAGGGAGAATACACAAAAACTGTGCCCCATATACTAAGACCGGTTTAGAGAAGTTTTAGAAGAATTACCTAATCCCATATAGCTTTGTACTTCAGGGAACTTTTTAAAGAAAATATCTGTCCAAAGCACTTGGGTACCTGTGGCCACTGAAGATGACCTAAGATGAAACCAGATATAGAAACCTCATGTAACCCAAACACGTCAGACGGCAAGAGCAGAACACCAGTGCAGTCTGGTCCTTCCACTAGCCAACTCCAAACAGAGCAGGGAGGGAACTCGGGATGCAGCTCCCCCCCACCCTGAGAAGAACTCCGAAGAAAGCCCCTGAGGGCTTCACCAACATGGGGCCGTGCACCGGGACCCCAACCTGAGCCGCACAGTGCCCGGTCCACAGGGCATGGAAGTGCTGACGGCTGCTCCCCTCCTTATCCCCGCCACAGGACGTCCTCTCTAGGAGCTTCCCGGGCAAGGGGAGCTGCATGAGCCAGCTCGTGACCTTGCACCAGGTGTGATGGGATCTGTGCTGTCCAGTTGGCCTTATGGTACGACAGCAACCTTCTCCAGGCCCCAGGAGAAAAACTACTGAGAACCTCCCTCCTCATGCTGTGGCGTATGCCTCCACCTTTGCTTCTGAGGTCACTCGCCAGCTCTCCCAGGTAATGAAAGACTGGCAGCAGCAGAGAGAAGACGACAGCATCACCCAATGACCGAAGGAACAGACACGTGAACTACAGTCACAGAATCCAAAATGGCCATCCTAAACGAAGGCGCTGCTTTTCTGAAGGGCGGGAACACGTGCTGAACCAGAGGCAGATTCCATGGCAGAGACTAAGCGCCCCCTCTGATCCCAGTAGCTACAGGTAGAAACCATCCCCGGTACAGAAGGACTAGCAGGTCATTTCCCAACGTTCTTTTCAGAGCCAAGTACACACGGACGTGCATCTCAGCGTGCTCTTCAGAGATCCAGAACAGCTATGTCTGCGCACAGCAAGGCAGACCCACAGGCGCCAGGGCCATGCTCCAAGGCGGCCTCTCCTCCTTGACCTCACAGGACTCTCTCGACAAAGGCACCGCTCCTCGCCCCCACGCGTCTTCCTTACCTCTGCAGGGGAAGTCACCACTTCCATCTCTTTTCTAAATGCAAATTAAAAAAAAAAAAAAAGACAACAAAACCAACAAGCCCAGACCCAGAGAAGTTATACTAAGTTATCTTTAAAGGATAAATGCTAGAGTACTTTTTCTTGCATCTCCCGCCACACATCTCACACATAAAAGAAAAGCAAAATTAAAACACAATCCACTCCACCACACACACACAAATCTTTCAGAAAGCGGATGAGAGCTGCGATCTTGGGCTACCCAAGGAGGGCCGCTGTTCTATTTATAGAACAAGAGCACTCAGAAAAAGACTCTGGTGGGTTTCAGCGGAAAAGGCTGGGGAGAAGATAAAGACCAGTATTTCTTTGAAGCTTTCTCAGAAACTGCGTTTCTTCTCCTGATTCGCTGCTCGAGAATACTATAGATATGCTGCAGAATATTTTTAAACAGTCAAAAGCAATGAACTAAAAGTGGTCAAGAAAATAACACCCCTGAATAATCTGCTGTGTTTTGCATTTGGCAGCTTGTAAATGGCACCCACAGGAAACACTGCTCAGCTGGCAGGGCTCCTCCTCATGCCCAATGGAGCAGAGAACCAGAAGTCAAAAACCCAGACTCAAGCACAGCTCCATCAGCACATGCTGGGCGGCCATGCTCTTAGAACCATTTTGTCAAGTTCTTTGCACAAACAGAAAGGCCCACTCTGTCCTTCAAGCAATCCAGGGCACCTTCATCACCATCAGAAACCCAGAAAGGACAGATCTGAAACACACACAGGCACTGAGAATCAGAGTGGGTAAGTGAGCCCCATGCCCACCTCCAGAGAGGAAGTAAATCCAGGGATGAAACCGGTAGTCCAAGCGTGGCCCTGGGTGCCACAGCCACCCAAGGTGAGCAGACAGAGAGCAGCTGGCCCACAGGCGAGACTGCCAGGCACCTGCTGTGAGAGAAGCTCAAGTCTCTAGTCATCCTGCTCAGGAACAAAGGACTGAGGAAGGCAGCTCTGGAAATGTCCTTAAAAAGGGTTCAAACCAGGGACACCTGGGTGGCGCAATCAGTTAAGCATCCACCTCTTGGTTCCCACTCAGGTCGTGATCTCGGTGTCCTGGGATAAGCCCTGCATAGGGCTCTGCACTCAGCACAACCTGCTCGAGATTCTCTGTTGCTCCTGCTTGTGTGCTCACACACTCTTTCTCTCTAATAAATAAATAAATAAAATCTTCGGCCAGGGAAGTGGGGGGGAGAAGTTTCAAACCAGTGGGCAGGGAAAAGCAAGAACAGGCCCCTTGAGCCCTGGTCAAACCTGCCCAGACTACTGAGAGCCAGGCCTGTGGGTCTCAGACCCTCAGGTATACTTTGCAAAGATGTTCTTGGCCACAGTATGGAGGAGAGGCGGAGGGAAACCTAGAAGCATGCAGAACAGTCCAGAAACTCTTGTAAGAGGGCAGCCAGCAACACTGAGCCTCTGGGAGGGAAACAGGGACACAGACATGAGAATGCCTGGGAAGGAGGCCACCACAGATGGAGACGAGGAGGACTCTGGTTTCACGAGGGAGGCTGGGGGCTTCATTTGGGACATGCCCACGAGGTCCTCAAGCATGCCAGGGGGAGCTGAGCTGAGCAGAGAGACAGCAGAAGATATGAGGTCAGGGTATGAGACAAGGTTTAACAGGGGAGACATTTTGGTAAGGCACATACGGAAAAGGAGCACAAAAAGAGCAGGCGCAGGCACAGGAGACCAGAAACCCCAGGACACCAAGCTCAGGTACAGAGAGGCAGAAACCCAAAGGGAGGATAGAAGAAAGCAGGCACTCGCCCAGGATCAAGGAGACAGCCCCCAGGAGGCTGCACTGATGATGACGACTGGGTGGAGTCCGAGGAGGGCCTGCCAGGGCGGAGCCAGAGCACAGTACACGGAATGTGACCAGGATGGGAGGAAGCAAAGATAGGAGGTGGGTTTTTTAAACCCACATGTTTCTTAACTTTTTATAAACATGGAATCATAGTGCACACACCATACTTTAACTTCCTATTTCCTGTCATGATATATCGTCAGCACCCTTCCACGTTAGTGAGTACCTTTGTCAGCTACAGAGCATTTCCACGTACTGCTGTGCGTGTACTCAACTCACTTGGGCTGCTAGAACAGGTGGAACGGGTCCCACTCAACACTACCAACAGCGCTTCAAAGAACAGCGCTACAATGAAAGTCTGTGCCTGTCCTGGACTCTTCCTTAAGGCAAAATGACGAGAAGCAGCATTTGGGGCTCAGGATAGCCCAGAAATAGATGCTGACAGATTTGAAAGTGTGACGAGTGACAGCAGCAGCTTCTCCAGCTGGGGGCGAGGAGGGATCAGTCAGTGGCCGGCCCTAAAACAACCGATTATCCAAGGGCAAAAATGCTCTCAGTCCCCCACCTCACACACGTGGGCTACAGATGAAATGCAAAAGGCACAACTCTAAAAGTTTCAGCAGACAATAAAGGAGAATTGCCTTATGACCTTGGGATTGGGGGGGAAGGGGTCTTAAGCAGGACTGAAAAAGTACTAAACACAAATTATAAAACTGCTTAAGCCAACTATATTCCAACGGAGAACTTCTGTTGATCACAAACACCTCACAAAGAAAGGAAGAGGGAAGCCAGGGTCTGGGAAAAGATACACGCAATACTGCCAATGGCCAGAGAGAGCACCCAGAACATTCTAAGAAGCCCTGCAAAATAGTAACAAGAAAAAGCA